TGTGGAAAATGTTTGGAGGGTGTGATACTCTTATTTTTCTGCGTCAATGCTGCAATGGATTGGCTCTCTAGTGTTCTTTTGTTGCTAATCTTTCATCCTCTGTTTTTGCTCTATTTTTTCTGTATCTTGCTGTGGGTCTGTCCAGGCCTTTCTTTCTGTGCTCTATTTCCTGGCCTTCTTGCTGTTAATACCTCTATGTAATTATATTTAATACCATATTATAATTGCATTTAATACCTTATTGTAATTATATTTAATAGTTAATACTCACTGTAATTATATTTAATACTCTATTGTAATTACATTTAATACCCTATTATAATTACATTTAATAATTAATACCTATTGTAATTACATTTAATAGTTAATACCTACTGTAATTATATTTAATACCTTATTGTAATTATATTTAATACCCTATTGAAATTACATTTAATGTAGTCATATAAGTATGTACTCATTAGCATTTCATGTGTAATATAAGACCTTAATATTATGTAAAAATGTGTTTATTTGATGAACATTAAGTGTTTGAAACTAATTTAAGTGATTTTCGCCTTATGTCAAGTATTTTTTTCCTCTAATTTAAATTTATTTTTATATAAATGGATGTTTATCCAATAAATATGTTAAATTAATCAATTATTTAGTTTATCTTTATAAATTAATGGATTGTATTTGTGTTTCCATGTGTTTCTATATTTTTTCTGTCTTTCTATTGCGTTTTCAAAACGTTTTCGTTTTTGTGTTGACCGAAACGGTACTTCGAAATGAAATTTCAATCCTTGACTGAGAAGCTTGTGAAATGAAACTCTGCCATGGCGTAGGCTGCCAATTAGCCCCACACTTAGACATAACACCAGACTAAACTTCTGTAGAATATTCACAATCAAAGAATAAGTGATTGTGAGACTCCATTGTAGAGGTACAAAAGACACAATCAGCCTCTAAATGAGGTGCATATGCCACTAATCTATCTCTAGTACTAAGGTTTTCTTTAATTGCAAGCCAAAGAATGATGTTCATTCGTGGGACTGAACCACACCAGCTAATTCCAAGGAACTCCAGCAAAATTTTCTTAGAAAACCCCATGTAGAAGAGGCAGTATATATTCCATTCCAGTGTGTGAGGGGCGCCACTGTCTCATTCTCTACATAACCTCCTAAATGTTAGCTTACATAACATTCAAATAAATACATAAAATTAGAAGTACGTAACAATTTCCCTCCTACATAGGACACATATTGAGCTAGTATTGTGGGAATAGTGTTGTATTATATCCATATTAGACTGTTCGTCTATTTACCTTTTCAATATTCCAGAATGTATCATGACTCTATCTATTCATCTTTCGAAAAAAAAGAGTTTACGTCTCACCCCAAACCAAGTTATGAAGCTCATTATTAGGATGTTTAGACAAAACCACAGCAATTGGTACTAGGGACTTCAGACATTTTTTCTCAGGTATTCTCTAGTGCAGAAGCTGTAGAATACAACCATTGGTGGCTGATAACCATATGATTTTATTTTTAATTTAGGTCTGGGAGAGTAACAAGGCATGGTATTCTTAGTTCCCAGTGATTCCCTGTTGTTCTTTATATCATTTGTGTTGGGCCATCTCTGATTATTTCTTGCATTATTTGGCAAACTTTGGCCTCTTTGTGAAGTCCAAAATTATTTGACTCTAGTGGACCCCATTTATTTTAGTAACTGCCCTATCCTTGCAATAAAATAACAGAAGTGGAGTTCATCTTCCTCACTTGTAAGTTTGTTATTGGATGGTAATATTACGTAACAATAGTGACAATGATGTCACCATTACCACCGAATATTTACTCCAAAGAGAGGTACCCTCTTCCATCCCCTATCATGTGGAGGAAGAATGTTCTGTCATTTCCCTCACTGGCATCATCTTTCTCCAGTTATTTAAGTGAGGTATCTCTAGTTAGTGACGTATTTAAGTGGTAATTGCCTAACAAGTTAATTAGGCATTGTTGTTTCGATAGAGAGTAGGTAGTGACAGAAGTTAGAAAATTCAAAGTGGGGTCGAATAATTATTGTCATGTGTCCACAAAACAAAACTACTTTTGTACCAAGAAAATATCTGAAAGAAAGCTATGAATTAAATCTTCTAGATTTCCTTCCTTGGTCGTGGGACCCTTATGATAGTTGAATTTTATGCATATTACCAAATGATTATCTGCTTCTTTTTTTTTATCATTAAAAGTTGAATGACTAACATAATTTAAGAAAATAATGTCCGAAAACTCCCAAAAACCGAAACATACTTATAACAGCTCAACGGAGTAAATTATCTTGTCAAGAAAATAATACTCTATCAATTCAAAAAATTATATATGTAATTACATTGCTCACATCCCGAAAATCAAAGCAACTTGTGGCTTTTCATAAAAATAAAAGTACAATTTTGATTAGGACAATTAGAATTCCCCTCACAACACGGCGTTAATAATTATCCAATTTCATAAGTTCTAAATTAAATCCAATTCGGATGGATTGGTCAATCAAAAAAACCCATCAAACCAGTGTTAAAAGCAGTCAAAGTCATGTGTTATTTAGCGACGGAGTAAGCATCAACCTCAAAGATAACGATGCTTTCCTATCTATTCAATCTTTGAGTAGACTCGGCGACTCGCTAGTGTACTACACTTTGAATCCTATCGCCACTACCAGTCCACAACAATCATTCAACCACCAAATATTGGTGCTCAGCAGCACCACATGCTCACAAGTGTTATTTGGTGTAGATCACAAATAAAAGTTTGTACACGCTCAGTAAATAGTTGCGACATATCACTTTATCAGAATTTTTTTTAAAAAAATCAATTTGTGTATCATACAAACTAATTGTGTAACAAATTCTCATTGAATGTAGACACCAAATGACACTGTCACTCGGTGCCTTATAAGCACCCAATATTTTCTCACAAACTTGGCTTTTTTCTTGGTCCTCCTAGTTATTGTAGTTGCTGACTCTCTCTCTCTCTCTCTTTCATATATTTATATATATGTATACCCACAAAAACCATTGTTTATGTTTGACCGATGAATTAACTGGGTTGTGTTTGGGTCTATGATATGTTTGGTTATTAGTATGTTATTTTTATTTAAGCGCACCATTCTACATGTCGAGTGCATTAGTCTTTTATGTTGTGAGAGATTATTTAAATATAGACAAGGTGTATAGTGGAGCAAATACTTTGAGTAGTGCTACATGTACCGTTTTTGACATGTTACGAATTTTGTTGTATATCTTTTTTCCATCCATAGGAGTGCCGGGATGCTTAATTGTACATCAGTGTGTGAAGGGTTCCCAAATTTCTACGTTAATGGCCAATGCATTTGCCGAAAAGTGCCCATATGAGACTGTTGTCCAAGTAAACTCGAACCAAAACCGTAGCTATTACGGTAACTGCTACAAGTGCTGTATTTTCAGTATACACAGCTCAACAAATTGTGTTAGCAGCAATTGCTTATGTGAGTGAGATGACTGGAAAGAAATGCTGAATGAGTATGACGATCTTTGAAAGGAATGCTGAATGAGTTAATGTACTGGGGGTGATTTCCAATGTTTGGTATGTGTGACTTCTGGGCAAATAAGATATATAGTACGGAGGGCTTACTTTTCGGTATTGTTTCAAAGGTTATACATGAGGTAAGATTGAGTATGATGATGTTATGATATAATTGGGTCGTTTGAGATTAATCCTATAGTGTTAGCCTCAACCTAACATCTTAACATCAATTCCAACTTTTTTAACCATAGCTTAATCTTTTGACATGGAAAAATAACCTAAAATTGAACGAGCAATGATATATAGACTTAAAAAATATATTTAAAAATTAAACTTGATAATTACTGATGCAAATCATAGCACAACTTCAAGAGATTTAGTTCTTAGGTTCCTTTTCGTTGTTGCCCAACAATTCTCAAAATCGTCAGCATTACCCATATTGAGTGGATCATGATGTAGAAACCAAAACCCTTATTCTGTGGTACGTTTCAGTACTGCATTACCAAATTGGTACCATGGTCTTAACCGTAACTTCTGTCACATTTGCCAAAATTGATCAAGTATCCAAGAAATATAACAGTTATCGAATACCAGAATGCCTTTTATTCTCCTACATACAATTTTATTTTGGGGGGGTTCAATCTCCACACAATTCATTTAAATTGAAATTGTCAAAGGTCCTTTTTTAAACAGTAAGCAGTAGCTCTAATTTTTTTTAACTAATAAAATGCAATAGTTTTACATTTAATTATCAATTTATCATAGTTTTTTATGAAAGCGTGTTTATGAGCCACGCATAAAAATTACTAAAAACGTGTTTTAGGAACTCTTTTTCATAAAACAACATTTGTTTGGCAAATAAGTTTAAAAATTACAGTATTTTAATAAAAAAGATACAAAAGCACGGTAGAAAGAGAATTGATTCAAGGGTAACATCTGTCTTTTGTATCAAATAGACCTCAGGTTGACTTAATTAAGCCCACCTGGTAGGGGTGCTGGAACAAACTATACAGCAGTCTTATCAGATTTGTCCTTTACATTTTCTGATTTCCATCTCTTTTAAATGGTGGATGATCTCATTTATGTGTACATTGATGGTTGAATCATGGGGTTATGTATGGAAAATTTTTAACCATGAACTAATCAAGACAAACCCTTCCAAATCATCTTCATTGTCTAAATAATGAGTATTAGTACCCATGTTAGCTACTGTAGATCTGAACCCAACAAAGTTACAATCACCAAACTTTTAATGTACTCCATTTAATAAAGGAGATTGTCCTGTTGAACCGATCAAATCCTTGCAACAAGACTTAGCATTTTTCTAAGATGTTAATTCCATTAAACAAGTATAGAACGTATAGGATTCTGTCTTTTATACATAGTGATAGAATAGAACATTTGTTGAAGTAAACCCATCATGTACACAATAATATTGGGAATGTAATTTGCCCAAAAAAAATATTAGCCTCTCAGTTCATCAGAGGAGCCCCATCTAACAGGAAGGTACCCCAAGATAAATGGTAAAAGCGAAAGAACAAAACATACCCAGGAAGCCCAAGAAACCTGTGGAGGAAGAAATGATCCCATCACCCCAAAAAACGCAAACAGAATACACCCGGCTCCGATTTGTTCGAGTGCGATTGAAAATCTATGGAAGGTAGTGCGAAGCAGGAGACCATTCCACAATGCTGTGAGCCCTATGCATAGTGGCAGAACTGTTAAAAGCCGCACCGATGAATGGGAATCCTTGGCATAGGCTGAAAGGAAACCAGTTGTCAGTGGCACGACAAAACCAAGCACTGTTTTACCCAATTCTTGATCCCGGAGGAGTTGAACAACGGGATTCACCTTCTGAGTCTGGTTCGTGTTGACGGTATTTATAGGAAGTCTTTCTGAGGCCGACCTTCGATATGCTGGAGTTGAAATTTTCATCTCAGTGTTTCTTGTTTCTTCTCCGGCAGTACATGAATCTTGCACGACCGGTGGTGCGATGTCTCTTGGGTGATCGGATGGTGTATTGATGGGTATCGAGACGAGAACCGAGTTTTCTGGCAGTTCAGGCAAGGTTGGATTGGCGGCTTTGGTGTTCATTGGAGGAGAAGGTACCACGGGTGATGAAAATGATCGAGGTAGGGAAATCGTTGAGGACTGTGGGGGTGGTAGGTCATATGTTGGCATTTTTAGAGTTTGGATATATGGCAAAAATGGAATGATAGATGGGTGGTGTTGCAAATGGGGAAAGGAGGCTGGAGAGTTTGAACTTCATACCACGAAACCTATTTATAATGTTAAAGATGGTTAAAGATGGACAAAAAGTAGGACTTATCGTTTTCCCTTATGAGTAGTGGGTAATCCAATTATGTCATATTATATTTATTTTTTTTCAATGGTAAGAGGTATCCGAACAAATTTATTTACATTTCAATTAATTTTCTCTCCGGTCTGATCAAAAGCATGTCATCTACACTGGGACTAAGGTATTCATGAGGAATAAATCCTTCAAGACCTAATCTCAAAGAATTGTCAAGATTTGAACTAACGACGATATTTGAATTTACAACTCGTCACTGTTATCACTTAACTTACCTCTTGGAGTTACACTATATTTAAATTGTGGCACTTTACATTTTTATTGTGTATTAGTTTATTATTATTCGACTCAATTAAATTATATAAATATTTTAGTTTCTTGGTGGTTATGAATGTTTATCAATCGAATTATGTCATAATATGTCGAGATTGTGTCATTCGTGTTTATATTGAGTACTAGTTAATTATAAACTCTCTTGAAGCATATGAATACTTGAGTTACTCTTTCTCTAACAACTTAAAATTATAAATGAATAGGTGATTTAAAGGATTTTTTTAAATAATGGTATTAAATATTTTGATGATAACCTAACATGCTTGCTTATCTCATCATATATGGGTACACATTTATATAACAGATGAAAAAGAAACCTTGTAATATAATAGAACCCCCTTTCTCACCGAACAAAACCCACCACTAATAAGCCACTCACCAACTAGAAATTCACTCATTCCAGTATAAAAATTATCTAATTCAAATACCTAATCAAAAAAATAGCAGTTTCTTGACAATTCAAGTTAATTAGCATTGACATGTTAAAATAGAATTATTCATGCTAATTAACTTGGGAGGAGAAAAAATATTATTCAAGTTCATTTTTTATAGTGTTAACAAGTCATGGCAATGGAAGCTTCTGACGTAACCCACCAATATGGAACTATATTGACAGCTTGGCATACATTGTGGGCCAATTCTGTCCATCTGCATATGATAACCAGCCAGCCATTGTGTAATCCTTTCCACATTCTACATGTGCATCTTATACCGTTGGTTATATATCTGTATTTGTGACGTAGAGTTGATAGGGACTAATTCCGAGTCAAACAGTTACTCTGTGCCCCAACCAAACCCTATCCTTTTTTTCTACAAACTTTGTCCGTACACTGCAACTTCTTATCTTAACGTGACTAAATGCTCGTTACACTTTTTACCAGGGCCGACTCAATAAAATTTGGGACCCTAAGTAAAAACCTTAAGTGGGACACTTTAAAATTTTATTATAAATATATGTGTTATTTTATGGTTATTTTTTCAATGCTGAGATAGGGTTTATGTTACTTTATGACTATTATTCTATTTTTTAATACGTTTTAAACTTAAAATCAAAAGAGTGTGTGTGTGTGTGAGAGAGAGAGAGAGAGATGTAGATAGAATTTGTTTATATAAATGTATTTGTATATATGNTTTATATAACAGATGAAAAAGAAACCTTGTAATATAATAGAACCCCCTTTCTCACCGAACAAAACCCACCACTAATAAGCCACTCACCAACTAGAAATTCACTCATTCCAGTATAAAAATTATCTAATTCAAATACCTAATCAAAAAAATAGCAGTTTCTTGACAATTCAAGTTAAAATAGAATTATTCATGCTAATTAACTTGGGAGGAGAAAAAATATTATTCAAGTTCATTTTTTATAGTGTTAACAAGTCATGGCAATGGAAGCTTCTGACGTAACCCACCAATATGGAACTATATTGACAGCTTGGCATACATTGTGGGCCAATTCTGTCCATCTGCATATGATAACCAGCCAGCCATTGTGTAATCCTTTCCACATTCTACATGTGCATCTTATACCGTTGGTTATATATCTGTATTTGTGACGTAGAGTTGATAGGGACTAATTCCGAGTCAAACAGTTACTCTGTGCCCCAACCAAACCCTATCCTTTTTTTCTACAAACTTTGTCCGTACACTGCAACTTCTTATCTTAACGTGACTAAATGCTCGTTACACTTTTTACCAGGGCCGACTCAATAAAATTTGGGACCCTAAGTAAAAACCTTAAGTGGGACACTTTAAAATTTTATTATAAATATATGTGTTATTTTATGGTTATTTTTTCAATGCTGAGATAGGGTTTATGTTACTTTATGACTATTATTCTATTTTTTAATACGTTTTAAACTTAAAATCAGAAGAGTGTGTGTGTGTGTGAGAGAGAGAGAGAGAGATGTAGATAGAATTTGTTTATATAAATGTATTTGTATATATGGCCGTTGAGTTGGTAGGAGAGTATAAAATGTAAAAGAGTTGAGAGAGAATCAAATTTTGCATTTTTTTAGACACCGTATTCTATAATATTCTTGAACCGGATTAATCTATATTCTAAAGACCAAAAATATAATTTGAGGCCCCTCATTTTTTGTGAGCCCTAAACAAGCATTTCACTTAGGAAAATTTGGAGATCGGTCCCCCTATATGGATTTAAGTCCGTCAAAGAAACTTATTTGTTATGAAGTCCATTTTTTGTAAATGTTATCATACTATCATTTTCCTTTAGAAGTGAAATAAAACTAAAAATTTAAAATTCTTAAATTTTAGGAATTTGATTAACATTAAAATCTTTTTTCTCTCATATCTATCTACATCTATATATACATTAAGAGATTGACTAACATTAAAATTTTCAATCTCATATTTATCTATATCCATATATAGGTTAGGTATATATATATATAGTAACATTAAAAATAAAAAATAGTAACAATTAAATACAAAAAAAAAGTTATCATTTGGACATAAAAAATAATAACATTTAAACATAAAAAAAAAATATTTTTAAAAAATAACAATAGCAACGTGTTTAACAAAAATATTAACATGTTCAACAAAAATAGTAGCATGCTTAACAAAAACTGTAGCATACTTAACAATAATTATTTCTCTCAAATTCAAGCGCAAAAAAATAGTACCATTCAAACAAAAAATAATAATATTCAAAAAAAAATAATAACATTGAATATTAATATTTATGAAAATAATAACAGTAACATGCTCAAAATAATAGTAACATGAACAGTAACATACTCAACAAAAGTAGTAACATGAACAGTAATATAATAAAAAAATAGTAACATGAAACATTCAATTTAACAAATTAACCCCCACGAAAAATATCACAAATTACAAAAAACAAAAAATTAACAAGGACCAGCGATTGTCATCCGTTACACACAAAATTGACATAATTCATAGAAAATTAAAAGATGAACATTGATGAAACAATGCCACCAACTGGCAGGAGAGAGAGAGAGAGAGAGAGAGAGAGATTTGAATTTTACTTTCAAATTTATGATGAAGATTTTATTGGCATATTTTAATTGATATTGAATTAAGAGATAACTATATCCAAAATAAGAATTAATTTAATCTCCTTTCAAGGAATGATATTTTTGAGATAAAAAAAACAGTGGACTTAAGTCATTACATATATTTTTAAACATGGACTCAGTCTTTTATAAATTTCCTTGTAGGACTTATCTGCAAACAAGTACATCTAAGGGGACTCACTTCCAATTTTCACAAAATAATTGCTTAATGATTGATGTCATAGTCCTTTGGTTCAATGATATTCCTCACCTTGCGAGGTCAAGGGTTCAAGTCCCCCTCTTCCTCCCCTTAAAAAAATAAAAAATTAGCCCACAATGGTCAAGAAAACAATGCTAGTGTTTAGTCCTAACTCCTGACGTATGATTTATAGGCACAAAGCATAGGCACGAACACGAAACACAATCACTAACATGAGATTCAAACATGTTACAACACGAATGAATATATTGACACAACAATTTTTGAAAATAAAACAAAGACATGACTAGAATACATTGTATAGAAGTGTATCTGGTAAATCAAATCATATTGTTCATAAATTTACTTTATATAATACAAATCATACTTCTACAATTCTAACATAATTTTTTAGATGAATGGATCATAAATCCATAATCATGCCAAACAATGCGTAATTATAATAATTTCCCTCAGCCTTCCAAGCCTTTTGTCTTTAATGAAACATCTATATGTTTTTTGCTTCTTTTTTATTTTTATTTTTTTTTAGGTAAAGGTTTGTTATAGTTATGCCTAAAAGTTATAATTATATTTCATGCTATAAAAATACTTTTGTTTCATGGTTATACTATCCGAAAAGACGAAAATAACATTTTATTGAGGAGAACAAAAGGGTAATGAGAGTGGTAAACTCCCTGTTTATCCTCGAATATCCATGAATCAATCCTTATAGAGAGGAGCTCGATGGAGACGTGGCCTTTTATGTTGGGGTGAAAAATGAAATTAACCAATTGTTTTGTTGAAGGAATGATAAGTTAGTACAGGTGGAAAAAAACTTTTTCAAAAAAGGCTGTTCAATATGGCATGTGGTCCTTTTTCCAACACCTAGGTTGAAATAAGGTGGTCTATATATGGGACCATCAACTCCGTTTGTGTGGACTTTTGAGGAGCAGAAAAAATTGTTGGAATTCTATGAACACAAACTATAGTAGTCTTATGCTTATGGTCAGTGCTGTAGGCCCAATTATGGCCACTAATAAAATAAGGCTTCCAGCCGCAACGTCTAGAAGAGGGAGACTATGGCGGTGGGGAGATACCGTATCAAAAACTAGAATATTTTAACTTCAAGTTATAATTTTTTGGCATGTAAATTACAACTCCGAATAATATGATCGATCATGAACATTATAATTTTTAAAACTTAAAATATTACCTTTAAAAGAGAAGAGTTATCTCAAACATATAGAACCTTATATTTAAAAAGTGTAATTTTAAGTATGGTAGCGGAATTTTTTAGGTAGCATAGTGCTATCCGATATAAAAAGTAATATATACAAAAACTTTGTATTGTTTTGTTGTATAGGTTAAATCCGTGGTCAAACAGAAAATTGCTTACCCTTATCTTTAGGGCTATCAGGTTGAAAACTTCTATTATGATTT